AGTCTCAGTCAACGTCGTGATTTCAGCTCCTGTCCATGTTCTGGTGGTGGTGGTCAACGACTTGGGAATTTCCACAATAACTGTGTTGTTCTCACCTGGACCGCCAGTCACAGTCATGGATGTAGTGAAGCTTCCAGTCCATACAGACGTCACAGTTTCAGTAGGAGTGGGAACCTCGACAATCACAGTATTGGTGAAAGATCCAACCACAGTGCTGGTGGTGGCGTAAGAATTGGACCATGTGTTCGTCACAGTGGTCGTGGAACGTGGCACATTCACAACCACGGTATTAGTCTGTCCAGTTCCACCGGTTACCGTGCTCAGGGTGGTGACGGTGCCTGTCCAGGCAGAAGTCACCGTGACGGTTGGAGTCGGCACATTCACAACCACGGTATTTGTGAGAGAGCCAGTAGCCGTAGTGGTAGTGGTATAGCTACTTCCCCACGTGCTGGTCACAGTGGTGGTCTGTCTAGGCACTACGACTATCACGGTGTTTGTGGTCAGCCCAGTGGCTGTGGTGGTGGAGGTTTTGGTGCCTGTCCAGGCAGAAGTGATGGTGGTAGCTGGCTTAGGGACATCTACCACAACGGTGTTGGTCAGAGCACCCGTGATGGTGGATGTGGTTCCGTAGGTTTTGGTCCATGTGCTGGTGACAGTGGTGGTTTCCTTTGGAATCTCCACAATCACCGTGTCCGTCAGGCCACCGGCTTTTGTGGTCGTTGAGGTGAAGGAGTTGGTCCATACCGAAGTCACCGTGGTGTAACAGACGCTGTTGTCGAACGTAAGTTGGGAAACATAAGGGCCTAGGTCCGACACCGTGTTTCCCGAGGGGTCCGTCATTGTCAACGAAAGACCAGCGTTTCCCACCCAGTTGAACATGACAATTTTGATGGGATAGTAGACGCCCTCGGTAAGCGAGAACGAGGCTGTTTGCGTGTTTTCAGACGTACTTCCGCCTCCGCCAGCAGGCCCCAAGGTGTCAATGCTAAAAGCTCCGGAAACACTTCCCGAGGCATCATTACAACACCCTTGGCCCGAGCCAAATTGCAACGACGCGCCGTTGTCCGCGGCCAAGTTGAACGTGAACGTGCCGGTGGAGGGCGCTAAGTAGAAAGCACTCAACTCCACTGCAAAATTAGAGACGGTCGTGTAGTAGCCGTAAACGTAGCCGTACGAGGCTTCGCTGGACAGCACCGCCAAGTCAAAATTGATTGCAGTCACTTCGGTGACGGTCTCCATGAGTGTAGTCTTATACCCCGTGCTGAAAAAATCGGCATCCCAGCCTGAAGTATCACGATATCCATAGCTGTAGAAGCGGGCGGTGAAACCGGTGGAGCCAATGCTTGAGGGAATGCATCCCGACGTTGCCGCACTTACCGCCGAAAGAACGGAAAGAACATATAGGATTATTTGAAGCATGAAAGGGTTCTCACGCAGATGGCTTTCACAAAAAGTTGAAAATGCCCGGTGGGCGCATTGGACAAGCCACCGCCTTTAAAGAGACGCTTGCATGCCAAAGTAATTTTCTGCATGCGTGACCGAAAGTCTTATCGAGTTTGATGCCCCGCTACAAGATATATGTATTGGCGCTTAAACTGCAGTAGTTCGAGCCTTCTCATTGGTGGAGCTATTCTCGGTAGTCCGCGAGGATGCGAGTGGAGCAAACTTCTTAGCGGTGCACAAGAAAAAAATTTCATCCAGTGCCGCCTTGACAAACAAACTACAGCAAAAAAGCAAACATTGCCCCAAGATATGAATAGAGTTAGCCACCAGATGACCATTGATAAGTACGTCCCCCAGCCGGCCGAAGCAAGCTGGTTTTGGTGAAGGTCAGGCCGGATATTCGGACGCAAGGCCAAATTCGCACTACGCGCGAAAAGCCTCAGAAAAATTCATTCCCAGTCACATTTTACAGCTTTTGTATATATAAGGCCCATTTGGAGATTCTTCAGTAATCCTGGTACTGTCATCGAAACAAACCCGAAGTGAAGCAGGGTTTATGACATCCAAGGGAAATGAGCGTACACGAATGGTCACGGTCGGTTATTATCTGCAGTTCCGAAGTCAACGAGGCGAAAAATCTGATGTTTTGCCCGGCTCATTCGCCCTTCTTGCAGGACGCCCATCTAGAACCTTGACATCATAGCGCAAACAACTTATTCGCGCGGGGCTCGGGGGGCTTACACCGAGCTTAAGCTTTTTGTTTCTTGCCCCTAAGGCGTCTGAAATAATAATAGGTTTGGGTGGGGAAACCTGTGGTGGGGAAACCCTGGGTGGGGAATGCAATGGGAAGAACCAGAACGGGTTTTATTGCAAGCTCTTTCCCAGGACCCCGGCTCCCGCTCCACGTCGTTTTGTGTCATGTGCTGGCGCATTACCAGTTGACTCTAAAAGTTTTAGGCCAAATCTCGTAAACATCCAAAGTGGATTTTAGATCCAATCAAATTCTACGGGCGTGCTCGTTGCCCCCTCTCCCCGCGCTGCCAGCATGACGTCTCTTCGAAGTGAAACTGTGCAGGTGTGCAGTTAAGAATCATATTTAGTACTGCACCTAATTGCACATGCAGATACGTGTTTCGAGAAGCGTGTATATAATCTCGGCTCATAGCTTTGAGTCAACCAGATCGCCATCCTTTTCGGCTGCGTCACAGCTCAAGCGTCATTACTCATCCGACTTGCAGGCGAAACTTGCGTGAGAATGCTTTGGAGTTTAACATTAAAGTATTGTGCTCAGCACTAAAGCAAGCGGTCGCAATCCCCCATACATTGCCCCTTTTGTTTTTTTTTTTTTTTTT